TATATATATATATATAATTATAATGAGAATATATTTTATTATGAAAGATGAAATGAGTAAATTATAACTTTAATTTAAATTATAGATATAAAAATATTTAAGGGTCAAGATTAAAACTCAATTATAAATACTTCTTTATCATAATAATAATAATAATAATAATAATAATAATAATATTATTATTATTATTATTATTATTATTATTATTATTCCTTTTACAATTATCAAGATCATCATCATGCATTGTTGTAATTGTTATAATTGTTACCATCACCACTGTCATTATCATTATTATTGTTGTCATTATTGTCATATTGTTGTTATCGACGACAATGATAGTGAAAATAACAATAACAATGACAATGGTGACAATAATAATCAATGATTAATGTCATCGCCATCACCATCATTGCCATCAGGTGGTGACTAAGATGGTGGTGGTGGTAATAACAACAATGTTGGTGACATCATTATCACCACCATCACTGTCATTGTTCTCACCAATACCATTAGTGACAACGATAATGACAATAACGATAATGGTGATAATGGTAATTATAGCGGTATAAAAAAAATCATTTTTTTTTGTTTTAAATATAAGCAAATTTTAATTATTTTTGTTATTCATTTTATGATACTCTTTCTAAAATATCTCTCCTTTAAAACATGATTTTTCAGTTGCACTATTTCTAATGATATTAATAACAAGTACAATTTAGGAAGAGTATTATGAGAGTAGTAAAATATAATATAGATAACTCTTTTTTTATGCATAAAATCACTTTTTTGTTGTGGTTTATAATAGAAACCATAGGGAGAATATATATAGAACATGTGTTATTAAATAAAATAAGTCTACTAAGACTTACTCTTAAAATAAATGGATCACTTTTTTATGCGTAAACTCATATTTTATATCAAATTTCAAGGATTTAACCGTTAATTTAAAAGTTTTTAATGATTAGATCAAGTTTGCAATTTTTTAAAAAATTTGAAAATTATTTAATACTTTGTATATAATACTTTTATGATTATCCGTCAATTTAAATTAATGAAATAAAATATCAAATAATTTTTAAATTTTTCAAAAATTTATAAATTTGATCTATACATTAAAAACTTTAAATTCAATGATTAAATTATTAAAATTTAATGTAAAATATAAGTTGTTGAACAAAATAAGTAGTAAACTTACTGTTAAAATAAAATGAATTTTTTCTCTCATATACATATACATATATATATATATATATATATATAAACCCTAAACCCTACATTCTTCTAAACTAGGACTCCACGTTGGATTATATTAGAAACAGTTTTTTTTCTTGAAATCAATTAACCGCAATTAATTACATAATTCTTTATGTATATTATTCAATCATAAACAAAATTCATGAATAAACTATAGGACGAATCCCATGTATGTCGGGTTATGACAAACAATTACTATAAGAAAATTATCATATAATGACATACATTCTATAGTGACATGATATGTGTCATTAAAAATTATTTTTACCCACATAATAAATATAATATATGTTAGTATATTATTAAAAAATATAGGTATAAGATATAGTGACACATAAAATATAATGTTAAATCTTGTTCAAAATCAACACTAAAATTGTATATAGTTATATGTTAAATAGATATATACTTGCATATATTATTCTTATAATGACATTTTTTTTATGTTATTATATGTAACATTTCTTGTAGTGAGTTTTTCTTCAAATTAATTAACCATAATTATTTACAGAATTTTTTTCAATAATAATGCGTATTGCAAATTGAATTCATCTGTATTAATTACAAATTACTTATATATATTATCTTTAAAGAAAGAGTACTCTTATAATAATAATAATGTAGAAGTGAAATATTCAGTACCTACACAAATGGATATCGATATCCATGCCACAAGTTAATATGATAACTATGAAATAAATCTTATTCATTAATTTATATATGATATATAACATACTTTGACTTACTTTAATTTTTTGATCGTAACTTTTTATGTAAAGTTTAGTATAACCAGAGGTATTTATTAATTAGGGCTATTTTTAAAAGGAAGAAAACTCGAATCCTGCGTGTTCCTACTGTTGATCTTATCTGGTTTAATTTTCATTCAATGAAACCTTGAACCGTTTCTTCATGGAAGAGATTAAAGATGAAAACGGATACGAGAAAGCATTTACACAAAGAATAAAAATAATAACCAAAATTCTATGAGAACAGATTGGAAATTTTGGACTAGTATGCATTGTTTAATGTCTTTCAAATCTACGTGTCTATTTTTGAGAATAGCAAAGCATGCAGTGGTGAATGAACGTACAAGGTGTGACGCTAGCCCTAAATGGCGCGAACTTTTTTAAGGATCATTATTTCATTCACAAAAGAATTTTGGTCACCTAGATTTCGATTCCCACTCTCAGATTCTTGGTAAAACCGTCTCTTCGTATAAAAAAATATGTTTCTTTACAATACTTTTATAAAGGTGTACTTTTTTGTCAACTATGAGTCAAATATATTAAAACATCTTGATTATAAAATCCATAAAGAAATATTTTAAAATTTTTGAATAAAATATTTTAAAATTTATTTTAATCAATACTATATATTTAATAATAATTTTCTTTTTTATATTTAAATGTTCTTTAAACATATTACTTCTATTTTTATATATAATATCTAATTAACTATTTCATTGACATTGAAAAAAATAATTAATCGTATTGATAATAATAAATATTCTATTTTTATTTTTTAAAATTATAGTTATACTACTCTTCTCTCTAGTTAATATTTTTCTATAAAAAATTTATAATTAATGCATTTGATTAAATTAAAAAAATTGATTAAGATTGTTTTAATAAAAATTAATTTAAAAATAATATAGATTGAGTATAAAGAATTATTGTAAATTGAATATTATAAATAATAATAAAAGTGGTATTAATTATTAAAGATTATTTCAACTTAACAAACGATTTTAATATTGAATCTTAGGCATCTTACATATTTGAAAAGATTGTTAATTATAAACAAAATTGAATTGAAAATTTTGTCACCTATGCTGAAAATTAAATGTAATTAAAAATATCATTAAAGTATTATGGTTAATTTTTAATGCATATTTAACACGATTTTTCATGGAAAAAATTATATTCACCAATTTTAATTATTACTTACTGTCAGCTTAAGGTTGGCATTCAACCAAGACATTAATAATTAATTATGCACAGAGATTAATTTGTGCCTATAGTAAAAAACACGTGCTGTCATGAAATTCTCGTTTATTATTATCTTGTTTACTAATCCACTTTTTAATATGTTCTTTCTTAATTACTTCTCTATTTAAAAATAAGTGAGATATTAAAACAATTAAATATGGAGACCAATTAATAATAATATAACACACTAATATATTATTTCTTTTGACAAATTATACTAATATTATTGAGGTTGTACATAATCTCATTTTATTAAGCCTTTACATCAACTCTCTTGTAAAATTACATGATATAATATATTTTTTAATTAGGTAACAACAAAGAGGGTTGTTGTAATATTTAGGAGAGTTAGTGTAAAATATTTCAAGCAACTATCATGATCAATAAAAGAGTAAAAATTTGAAGAGAACTACTATATGCTTTATGGAAGATAACCTTGTTTAATTCAGATAAAATTATTATAAGCTCTATATTCAAGTATTTAATATAATTCCATATTTAAGATTTAAAATAATTGGTAGCTGGAACACTTAAAAAGTGAATAAATTAGTTGAAAGTCCAAAAATAAAAACTAAAAACTAACAAAAGGTAACCGTTATGAAACTACTAAAAGTAATATAAAATGGCCCAAAAGAAAATTTCTTTAATTGGCTCTAAACATATATAGCTCTCTCATGCTGTATATACAGATGCTTGTCAATAGAAAAAAACTATTTTTGACTAAAACAAGCCTAAAGATTTAATTTTATTCCTTTATTGAATTTACTAATTGACTGATGCTGTTGACCGAATAACGAAAATGAGGTAAGTGGCAACTGATAGATACTGCCAAAAATGCCATGTCATGAATAGCCAAGCCTATAAAAGCAGCATTGCAGCAAGAAAAGAAAACCACACAGCATTGCCAAATAGAAACCAAAACCATGGGCATTGAAGATGTCCCCGTTGTGATTGTCGGTGCTGGCCCTGCTGGCTTAGCAACCGCTGCATGCCTTAACAAACTTTCAATCCCCAACGTGATCATTGAAAGAGATGATTGCCATGCATCTCTTTGGAGGAAAAGGGCCTATGATCGCTTGAAACTTCACTTAGGCAAAGAATTTTGCAACCTCCCCCACATGCCCTTTCCCTCTGATTTTCCCACCTTTGTTCCAAGAGTTGAGTTTTTGCGTTACTTGGATAACTATGTCACCTCTTTCAACATTTCCATCCGGTACAACAGGAACGTGGAATCTGCGTTTCTTGATGACAATGATGGAAAATGGAGGGTTGTTGTGAAGGACATGGTCTCAAATGCTGAGGAGGTTTACGTGTCAGATTATCTGGTGGTTGCAACCGGTGAGAATAGCGAGGGCTTTATTCCCAACATTCATGGCCTCAAAGGGTTTGAAGGAGAATACATCCATTGCAGCAAGTACATGAATGGAAGAGACATGTATGGCAAAAACGTCCTTGTTGTTGGCTGTGGTAATTCTGGCATGGAGATCGCTTATGATCTCACCAATTGGGGTGCAAATACCTCTATTGTTATTAGGGGCCCTGTAAGCCATTTCTCTCTTTGCATATCCTTTACGTGGAGAATGGAATCTTCTTATTTCTATAAAAAGAATGTAAAATAAAAAATACATAAATTGATCTAGAAAACGTGAAATATGATATATTATTTTTTTAATCCAACCTCGTTTACAGAGGACTCATGACTATTTATGTATCTAAATCTAAAACATATATGTGTGCGTGTTTAGGTTCATTATTTCACTAAAGAAATGGTGTACGTGGGAATGTCCTTGCTGAAGTACTTCAAAATAGAGAAGGTGGACAAGCTTATGTTGCTCATGAGCAAACTCAAGTACGGAGACATGACTGAATATGGCGTGGTGAGACCAAAGGATGGACCTTTCGCTCTGAAGAAAAAGGGTGGTACTACCCCTACCATTGATGTGGGTTGCATTAACAGGATTAAGAAAGGCCTAGTCCAGGTAGCTATTTAATTAGACGCACTTTAATTGGCAAAAATCAAAGTTTCATATGAATTAAAGATCGGATAATTAAATAATATATAAGTAGAAAATAATTTTTACCTAGGAAACTAATTTTGTAAAGTTGAATTAGACTCAAATTCACGCTTAAGCAAGGTCAGGGGTTTGAATCCTGCCTTGTGTATGCAGCCGCGTTAAATCTTGGGGCCAGCTATCCCACCCTTTGAGGTGCTTCCAACGTAGCGAGGAGATTAGTCACTGCTGTCGGCGGTGAATACTCCAGGGACGAACCAAAAAAAAAAAAAAAATCTACTATTATAAGATGATATGAGATCTATTCTAGATCCTTAAAAATGATCACCTATCATAGATCATTAAAAAGGTCACCCATCATTTAATCAATTTTATATAATTGAGTTATACTCAAAACTATTATTCTAAGAATTTTATTATATATAT